TCACTCACCGAGTCTGCGGACGAGCTCCTCTTTCGTCTCTTCACCTCGGGAGACGCAGTGGACTTTATCTGAAAGGACAGAAGAAAATTCAATTTTTTTTTTCAGATCTGCAAATCACTTGGCTGCATGCGAGGCGATCCTGTTGCGCAGCTGAGCCCTGCTGCGCAGTTAGAGATCTGCAGGTCTGCACAGCACCGGGCGAGACATCCGATACCAACGAACACATTCCCCGGATAGACCAGTGACCCCTGTCACTGGGAACCTTTCTGATGTGCTGCTACCTTGTGGGGATTACCCGAGCTGGAAGGGGAGCTGCTAGCCCTTGAGGGTTAGGACTGCTCAAGAAGGCCTCCTGATCGCCCAGATAAGAGATGGACCCCCTGCAACATCGTCATGTCCGTCAGCTGGGATACTGCCTCGGGGACAGAGGGCCAGCTCACTCCTGCTTCTGTCTGGGACTCACTGTGGCCGCACACCCTTGGGTAGTCCTGGCTTTCATTGCCCAGGGTTTCAAAAGGACCGGAGGCCCTCTCCATCTGTGTTCTGTCCGGACGACTTCCTCAGATCCTGACCCTCACATGGACACTCGGGGTCAAGTGCAATCAGCAGCCCAGATCCAGGGGTGCCGGTTAAAAGGCGGACGCTTCCGGAACCACGTCTTGTGGTCTTTCCCGACAGGTGAGGCAGCTTCCGTCGTGCAGACCTACCTGACTCTGGGAGCGGGTGGGCTTTCTCTTAGGCACAGGCTTAGCAGGCTGGTCCCCCTGAAACGGATTTGAGAAGCTGGCGATCACTGGCCCAGGGCAAGCGGACTGTGTTACTAAGGACCTGTGCAACAGAACTGTGGTCTTGCATGAAGCAGGTGCCCTGTTGCCCTACGTCTGTAGAGTGGTGCATCAAGTGTGCGTTTTCCTGCTGTCAGCCTGCAGCTGTGTGTGCTTGTGTCTCTTCTTCTAGCTGCACATGAGCATTAGCTGAGAAGTCAATCCAGATCACGGATCTCTTCCTACACTGGCGGACAGGCTGAAACAGAGAGGGGTGCAGGGCCAACCGGATCTAGTGTTTCAAATACTCAAGGGTCTTGACAAAGTCGACCCCAGCAGACTCCTTCCGAAGGAACAGGGAAGACAAGTGCGGATTATGTGGAAGTGCACTTGAAAGTCGGACTATATGGCACCTCTTTACACAAAGGGTGGTCAGTGTATGGAACAAGCCGCGTAGCTATGATCCTGAAGCTTCCCCTATGCTGGCTTCTCTCCAGACAGACACAGCTGGATCAGTTATCCACTAACCACCGTGCATCTCGTGTGAGAGACCTCTTCCACTCCGGCACCTCGCGCCCCCCAGCCCCTCCTCACCTCCAGCAGAGCGCCCAGTGGCCGGCTTTTGTAACGGATGCTGCTCTTCCACTTGTGGTTCCTGCCTTTCCCTCCGTGCTCCTCGAACTCCCGGGGGCTCATCCACTTCCTGTTGGCCAGGACGCAGGGCTGACCTGCCGTTAAAAGACAACCCAGTGTCAGAGCCCAGAGTCAACACGACATCCCCCCCATCGGACTGGTACCACGAGCAGCCGACACTGCGGCGCTGCCTAGATCACAGCTGCGCCCCATGAACGGGTCGATTCTACACAACTGGACCATCGGAGGCTCCAGAACCAAACCACGTTGGTTTCTTCCTGCGTTCCAATACACAGAATTATTCTCTTCTTGTTCCTCCAAATCCAGAGACGGTTTCTTCCCGCGAGCTGTCAGATTATGGGAATCTGCCTCTAGCACTGGCTCACGCTGTCGTCCTGGCCTTGCACACTGCCTGTGCTGATGTGTATTTAAGCTGTGTGTTATTTCTCGTGGTTGTTGCTGCTGCTGCTGCTGCTGCTGCTGTTCCGTGTTGGCGTTTCCTTGAGGTCTTTGTATCGGAGCGTACATGCAAATAAGCATTTCCTCGTACTTGTGTACAGTACGTGACAAATACACCGAACGGAGCTTCTCAGTCGGCTCACTCTGACAGAGCTCCCTGCTCGAACTCGTTGGAGTATCGCTCGGCGTGTCCGCACCGCCCTCACAGCGCCCAGCCTCTCGCACACCGACGGCACCACCGCGATAACGGGGTACAACCAGGGTCCTCTCCTCCAGGCGCGAGCTGCAACAGGTTATTAAACTCCGCGTTGCCGGAGCCCGTCGGCTCTCTCGCCAGCGAGACGGCACTGTCCTCACCGAGTCTCCCACGCTGCCAGCTCCCCCTTACCTTCCAGATACTTCCCCACGTCGAAACGGCCCTGCTTTCCCCCACAGGTCACCGGCAGGACGAGCTCACGGACCGGGGCGTCTGCAGCAGAGGAGATACATCAGCTCATGAACAGATCTATAGACCCCCGCGCCCTGGAGACCTGACTGAGGGTCATTAAAACCACAGGTCTCTCATTGTTTTTAGGGTATTATCAGCTTAAATGTTTTTTTTCTAGTTTATAAACTCATTTATAATTAATACAATTGATCAGTTTTCTTAATCTGGAGTGACAAAATCTCGTATTTTCTCCTGTCTCTCATCCAGCCAGGTCCAGAGTCTCTTTCTCTTGGCTCTAATGCTCTGCTCACTGCTTTTCAAATCCAGTTCTGTTCTTCAGTTACAGTGTCTAGACCCCAGCAGCCCAACTCCTAATTAAGACTAAATCTTCACACCACATCATTCCAGTCTTGGAGCCTCTGCACTGACTTCCAGTGCAGTTTAGGGTGAAAATATAAAATCTTCCTTCTAGCTTTCAGAGGTTCCCTGCAAACGTCTTATCAGCACACACTCCCGACTGCGTCCTCCTATCAAACACAGAAACTGTGAGAACCGATCTCCTCCTTGCCCAGTTCGTACGAGTCACAGGTATTTCGGCACACCAGCTGGTATGGTCCGACCTTTCCTCAGTTCAATGGATTTTTCTACGACGCCAACGTGCGCCAATTCTTTCACTTTCATTTCTCCCGAAGGGGCTGGGAACCTGGCCGATCGCAGGCAGGAGGCGAGACGCGCTGGCGGGACTCACGGTCGGCCCTGCAGAGCTGCAGCTCGGTGCAGGCCTGGGCACCACCCCGCTGGGCAGTGTTCCAGAACGGGCCGATCTTCTCTGGCGCCTCCTTCTCCAGCCAGGCCAGCAGCTCGGACATCCCCGTCTCCTGTCTGTCCCTCAGCTGGACCTTTAGCTGCTGATGAAGGGGAAAAGACCCTCAGGAGATGACAGCCCCCGCACTGCACAGGCCTCCTGAAGCTCTGCTGCAGCTGTGGGGTGCGTTAGGTGAGAAGCAGGGCCAATACTAACTAAAACACAAAAAAAACAACCTGTCCAATTCCAAAATAAGCCTGGATTGCCTAATATGGTGCACCTGGGACTGATCGGCGTGTCACGGCAGCCATGTTGGCTCAAATCATGGCTCCAGGCCTAGAGCCAACATGGCGGAGGCCCATTGTCTTTTCACTTCCCAACGGGGGGCTTAGTTGGAACCTTTTCAAGTTTTCTTCCCGCTGAAAGGCTGGAGATTTAAAATCACTTAAGAAATACAGTAGTGAAAGGGCATCAGCCTCCTAGATGTTTAGGAATGGAAAACAAATACTGCTATACACTGGTGGAGGGGAGACCCCATTACCTGCAAAACACTTTGAGTGGAGCGTCCAGAAAACCACTAGAACGTGTAAGGAATTGTATTATTATTATTATTATTATTATTATTATTATTATTATTATTATTATTATTATTACCTTGTACTTCCTCTCGGGGATGATGTTTTCGGCCTTCAGATTCCTGAGCAGCTGGTAGGGGTCTTTGACAGGAACGAGTTCGGTCTTCTTAATCTGGAAGCTCTGGCTCTTCCGCTCCATGGCTAAGGGCCTTAAAGACATTTGTGTACCGAAGCTTTCAGTTCTCTGAGAATCCCAGCGGGACATTGAGAGAGGTTGTCCTCCGCATGTTGGGAAAGTCTTCTGTGGAATCGGACTTGTCCACAAGGAGACGGGGCTTCTAGTTTAGTGCTGAGCCTGTTATAATTGAAAGCCTGCTATTATAATTGTTCCATAATATTAATATTATTTGGCTGTTCCCGCGTGGCTGATCTTCAAAATGTCTGGCACATTAACCAACAGAATAATGTGCCCAGAACTCCAGCTCTCGGTCCTCCAGAACCTACCTCTGTGCTTGACGGCCTGTATAGGCTACCTGTGAGTTTCCGGATTCATTTAAAAGGATTTTGTTCTTTGTTGATTTTGTTGTTACTCTACAGGATTACTCTAATCCTGTAATATGTCAATCAATGAGTCAGATATGGCGTTGCATCTACAGTTTCTAGGAGTAAACTCTTTTGTCTGCTATTCCTCCCTGATGACAACTCAAGTGTCTACTTTGGTTACAGTTTCAACTGTACGTTCTGCTTGTTGAAAACCTACAACAAATGTATTTTCCCTGAGCACATCATCTCACCTCCGTCATAACAAAATGAACACAAAGGTCATGAAGAGATCTGTCAAATAGGATCTTGAGCCCTTTAACATCGGCATGAAGGCATCAGAACCAGAAGGATTGCATTTATTTAACGGAGAAACATTTTCAATACCTTTAATTCTCCAGCATTGTGATTCCTAGTGAAATTAACCTTTTAGCCAAACTCTGATTTTTGAAGATTTAGTTTTTATTTGTTTCTGGT